GGGCCTTAAGCTATTCAGGCAGTTCTCTACATGAGATTATTTCTCTTAGGCTTTGGCCAGATCATGGTCTCCAAGGTGTGGGAAATCAACAGTTCTTTGCAGTGATCACATGCCCCTGCAAATATAAAAGTCCTAGGCATATGCAGAGCTTGCCGCTGTGCAAGTATCTGAAGCAGAGGAGGACTTCTACTTGGGCACTGGTCAATATGCCTGCTGCAAGTACCTGCATCCATTACTAAGCTAATCAATAGCACTTCTGCAAAACAGAGTTGGGGAGGGAGGGAGGATTTAAGGCAGTGGTACCATAAGTGAAATCTTTACTGTCTCTGCAGAGGTAGCAGGCCATTTCTTGTGCTTATGGGGTTCTACCATGAGCAAAAGGAGCAGAGGATCACTGCTTACGGATGGAGAGGGCATAAAAGGGGAAGGTCTCTTGCCCTGTGATGCTTTTTGATACAGCTACTCAGATGTACACCTGTTTTCCAATGAACACCACAGAAACTGGGGTAGTTTCCTGTTTTCCCTTCCATAGTGGCAGCCAACTCTATATCTGCAGCATTGACATTCTCTCTCTCCCCCTTAGGATTCCCACTAATACTTTCTCTTATTTCCAGCAGGACAGTGAATGACAGAGATGGCCAGTGGCATACAGAGTGGAAAAATACACATGGACTATCCAAATCAGGCAGCCTGCTAGCATGCAACTGCCAGGGCTAGCACTTGGCACAAAACAGGTAGCAGCCACAGACTTTCTAGGAAAAATATGTGGAACAGTAGATATGTTCAGAATTCATTCCTGATTTAGAGGAAGCCCCATCCCTGTTCTGAGAAGAAGTTGTCTCATAGTTTAAACAACCAGAGAAGCAGTCATTGGTGGTGGTGGTGGTGGTGGTGGTGGTGGTGGAACTCACTGAAAACTTAAATTCTCCTTTCCAATAGTTCCTGGAAGTTCTGGCTGTGAAGAAAACCATGCTTCTCTCCCTCCCCTCTGATGCAGAATCATCAGTAGCTAAGTCAGGAAGAAAAAAACGTTCAAGTTACGGGGTTGCACAGCAGCAGCAGCCAACACTAAACATTCAAGTCATATTTTCACTATGTACATCATAAAGTGAGCCATGGTTTCGCCTGCCAGAAGATGTCCTGCCCTGACAAAGCAGTCACACACTGTTATCTGATTCGTTTCTCTACTGAATACACGGAGATGTAGTAGTCGTTGCTTCCAACTGCCAGATGAGGCTGCGGGTAGAAGAAGAAAAGAATGTACATTACCACATAGAAGTAGGGATGTATTAATTCTGATTGGCCTTGGGTGGCAGCCAAAATTTGTGCTCAGCACTAACTGTCCTCCTCCCGCAAATGGGAAGGGATTGGCTCTGGTGTCAAAGTAAATTTGTCTCATCAAGTTTATCAGCTGCCACTGCTGAGGCAATCTCTTGCTCTCATTCCCAGTGTTAATGGTGGCTGAATCTCATGCCTATTGTTCTTCAGTGCAGGGAGATTCAGAAAGCAGGGAAACAGCTACCTGCTTTTCTAAGTGAGGTCCAGAAAATCACTAGGAACTTTTCCAGGATTGGGGAAAAGGTGGCAAATTAAAAACAAACATATACACAATATAGCCATGGGGTCATCTAGTGACTTTCTGCGATTTTCAGAAAGCCTCCTCTGGGTATGTGCTCAAACATCATCCATATCACCAAACAAAATGTGCACTATGTTGACTGAAAGACCAGGAACACTTGACAAGCTCAGGCAGCCTCATAATTATGGACTGGATTTTACTTTCATTTTTAAAAAATGTACAAAAGTTGCCCATAAATATTCTCACTTCTTAATCAGGTGGGTTCTTCCATTCAATCAAATCTGAAAGAGATCAGAAACTAGATCCTCTTATTACTGATCTAGTAATAGGAATGGCATTTGAATTTTGTGAAATGAACTGTGTTTATGTATATGTATATGTGTATTTATATTTAAAATTCTATGCTGCCTTTCAGAACCAAGTTTTCCTAGGGCAGTTTACTGTACAGTAAAACCACAACATAAGATGCCTAAAACTAAAATAATAACTGTAATGCTATTTATAAATCATAAAACTATAATTAAAGTCATGCCCTCTGGATATCTTTAGCAATCTTACTTTAAAGAACTTATATCTAATTCTAGAAGAAATGTTCTATGTCAGAGAAAGGAGACTGACCCAGTGTGGATGAAAGGCTAGGCAGCTGATGGCACCCACTCTCTGGCCCATGAATCCATCATAATACTTGATATTGTTGATCAGCTCACCATGCCCATTGTAGATTGCAGTGAACTGATTCATAGAACCGCTGCAAAGGAAAACAGAACAATATGAACCTTCCACTGGCTAAGACTTAGAGCAGACCTTTTCTACTCTGTTAATCAACCATGGATTCCAAGACAGCTCATACCAACCAAGTGATTAAAAAAAAACCCTTTCAAACTTCAACATCATCCTGCCAAAAAACAATCTTGTGGCAAAAGATAGAGATGTTGAACAGAAGTCACAAGCATAGGAACGGAACATGCAACTTTGGGATGGTCTGATATAACTTAAGCAGCAAGCAGATGAAATTGGATACAGTATGTTGACTAGTCTCAATAAAGAAAATGCTTCTTCCATGAGTTGAACCATAATGAAGGAAAGCCAAGGTGCTATGAGTTTAAGGAAAAATTTAAGAGTTAAAACACAGCTTCAAGAAACAAAGGAAAGAAGATACAATGTGTGATGGAATGTATCTATGAAGGGGGAGGTGGTGTGATGGCACGCAGTAGAGATCCAGCTTCTCAGGAAGGGGGTGCGCATTCCAGGAAGGAAAAGAGGGAGGCAAGAGGCAACATAGTCCGGAGCAGGAGCATGGGAAGAAGATGAGACTTAAGACAGCCACTCCCTAGATTCTCCCAGAGTGTATCTATTAGGTTAGCATAGTACAGATTTAGTCTGGCAAGATTCTGTCTATATGGTGTAAGCGTTAAAGAACTGAACTTGGTTGGATTGTTTCCCTGTTGTTCTTAGGCTGGGCCTGACATCAGCCTTGGGAGTGGCTATCTTAAGTCTCTTCTTCCCATGCTCCTGTCCCAGACTATGTTGCCTCTTGTTTCCCCCTTTTCCTTCCTGGAATGCGGTCCCTCTTTCCTGAGAACCTGGATCTCTACTGCGTTCCATCACATGATGCTTATACACATATAAAAGAGTATGATATTATAAGCTGCAAAAAGCAGATGACTACTAGATGGTAGCAAAGAGATACATAAAACTCTCCATCTAACTTCCATCTATTAGTTATCCAGATTTTTGCAGTTCAGATACGATATGCTCGATCAAGGAAAAGAAACTGAAGTGTCTTTAACAATAGAACACAACAACAATTCTTTCCTTTTTGGAGGAACAAGATGTTGCTTGGTTGAAAACCTTTAGATCTTACCATGCAAATAAGTTGGCTTGGGGGTGAATGTCCAAAGCTGTTAGTCCTTTGACTATCTGAAGGACCTTTACTGATTCTGGCATTCTTGGGTCAAAGAAACGGACATCTCCATTTACGCTGCAGACAGATAAAGCAATGGATTATTAATAACGTGTCCCAACATGGAGAATAGAATTTATGCATCCCAGACACTACTAATTAGCACCAAAAATTAAGTAAGTGCAGAGTTAATGCTTAGTTTATCAGCTTTGCCTTGTTAATCCTTATGAGCCTCTTTTTCAGGGAGCACCCACAAAGCTCTAGATATTACAGAAATCAGCATGAGCATATTCTTGATTCAGCTCATTCATATATAAGGAAATAATGCATATGAATCAATTCATGTTTTCTCTCTCCAACTATGTGTAATGGTATGTGGGAATGACCTTGGGAGACAGGAGGAAGAGACTCAGCCTAGACAACCATCATGCCAAAGGTATCTCAGTCCACAGAAACAAAAGGGGCGTGGGAAGCATCTCAGAAGGGACTTTCCCTAGTTTTCTGGAGAGTAAAAATAAAGGAGGGGAGAGATACTTTCAGACTTGCAAGATTCTGTTAATGTAATCTTACAATAAAGATAGAGCTAGTACTCCTGGTTGTGCTTCTTGTCTGGACTACCTTGAAGGGCTAACATCAATCTTGCAAGTCAAGCCCCCTCTGCTTCTATGGACTGAGATACCTTTTACATGACAGTTGTTTAGTCTGTGGCTCTTCCTCCTGTCTCCCAAGGTCATTCCCACAGACCATCAAACTATGTAACAATTATCAGAAAAACTCTGCCTAATTTTTCTATTTGTCTCATCCCAGGAACAAAGGTGAGTTCTGAGAGATGGCAACTCATATGGCTCTAGTCATGTGTCAGAACCATTTTCCCATCACAGCAGTTTTATTTATTATTTATCAACTTATTGATTGGTTTCATTCAGGACGGAGGTCATCCCGATTCTTTTATGGTAAAGAGTTGCAGCATTGCAGAGTTTGAGAACACCTGCCTTATCCCAGGCCAGAGCACTCATTTCAACCCAAAAGTGTCATAGAAGGTACTCCATAAAACAGGGCTTAAACCTTGCTAGATGTAGCTCCCCATTCACTTTTCAGCGTAAGCAACTTCAGCTTGGGCAAATTGCGAAGTCTTGTAGGGAGAAGGTCTGGCTTCCAGCCTCAAAGTTAAGTGCAGTAATTTAACTTAAAGCATATTACCTTCCCTGTTTACATCTGTCTGTCCCACCAAATCTAGCAGAGACAGCATGCTGTGGGTCCTGTCAGCTAGGGAGCTTCACTTGGCAGGCCTAGGCGACAGGCCTTTTTTGCTGAGCCCCCACTTTATGAAATAATCTTCCCCCCAAAGTGAGGCTAGCCTCATCCCTTTTAACTTTCTGGAAGTCCCTCAAGACCTGGTTGTGTCATCAGGCCTGGGGACCCCAGGGGACTGGTGAAGTATTGAGATGGCTCCAGTGTAATTAGCATCTGCTCTTCGCCCAATATATATTTTTTGGGGGGGGTTGTGCCTTTTAATATAGATAGATAGATAGATAGATAGATAGATAGATAGATAGATAGATGATAGTTTTTAGCTTTGTTGTACACTGCTCAGAGTTTCTTGTCTGTGAGATGGGCAGCCTTAAAAATATGACAAAATAAATAAATATGATGAAATAAATTACAGACAGGCTCAAATGTGCAGCAGTACCTTAAGACATGTTTGTGACTTTTTTAGAATGAATGATTTTGAAGGGGGAGAGTCATTCAACAGATACCATAATTACAAAGAGTTTAAAATCAGATTGTTAGGATATTAAATTCCAGGCAATTCTGACCTCAGCCTCTCTTGCACATTAAGAGAAATGACCACAAATAGCTGGAAAAAAAGAAATCACAAAAATTGCAGTAATAAGTCTGCTCGAAGCCTTGAATGTCAGTGCAATAATTTAAAGGGCAATATTGAAATGTAGCAGACAGTAATGGAAAATCTTTAGCTCAGTAGTTAAAAATGCTTTTCTTCACACCCATCAAGAACTCAGACACTGAAGAAGCCATGCATGCTGCTACTGTTGCTGCTGTTAGCTGCCGGGGGCTTACCAGAAGTTAGTGCAGAAAGTTTAACATCCTTTGAAAAGTCTCTAACACAGCGTTTCTCAACCTTGGCAACTTTAAGACGGGTGGACTTCAACTCCCAGAATTCCCCAGCCAGGCTGGCTGGGGAA